TAATAATGATGCTCGTTCATTCGTCAATATCTGACGTTGACTAATCATATATCCACAGAGGAGAATATTTCTCAGCGAAATGGAAGAATTTCAAGAGTTAAAGGTTACGATGACTTGAGGCTTTTTGTGGCCGATGAAACCAATTCTGGGAGAGAAAAGTTTACCACCTTTTGAACATTTAAAGGCTCCATTTCCACTTGTGAATGTTCTCAGCTTGCGGCCGTTTCTCATAGTTTTCAGCATTTCTTATTCGTGAACCCTCATATGATGTGCTGCTCACTGTGACTGCTGATCTCCAGCTGGGTCTGTCAGGAGCAAGGCTTTCTCATTTCCCATAGGATTTATGTTGAAATTCTTTAGAGACCTTTTTAGGGTGTCTTTGTAGAGGTTTTGTTTGGGGATTTTTTGTTTTTGTGGGGGGGGGGGGCAAACTTATGCTTCCCTGAGAACAGTTCAGAACAGACAACTGCCTTTGGGATTTTAAAATCAGACATTCTTACGACGTGGCAAGCCCAGCGAAGTTGAGTCCTTTTGAGCTTAGAAAATAGACTCTCCGCATTTGTCCTATTGAGAACTTCGGTGTCTATTTTTGTAATCTGCCATTTGATGCCAAGCATGGTTTTGGTACACCGTCCTGGTCTCGGCACCAATCAACAGGGTCAGGAGCATCACAGATTTGTAGACTTTCAAATTTGTCTCTGTGTGAATGCAACAGCAGTTCCAAACCCTTGTTCTGAGTCTCCCAAAGGATGCACTAGCTTTATTTATACGTAAAGCTATTTCAGCATCGATGCGGGCATTTGAAGATCGAAGGGACTATTCCCAGTGACACTTGGAATAGGTACAGAAAATATTCCCAGTGACAACGGAACTCTTTGCATAAAAAAACAGAAGCCTTTGCCTTTGAAGTTTCACTATTTTTCACTTCGAAACAAAATTGCTATGCAGATGGAAGTGGGCGGCAGGCGCGAAGTTTTCCTCCTTCAAAGAGTTTGAAGAGAAATTTGCAGCTTTTCAAAAGATCAAGATGGTAGGCTCTCTTCTCACTTCAGTTCAGTGCTTTTGTTCTCTTCTTTTACTTGGGCTTAGACTTTACCGTAGCCTAGATCTAGATCTAGATCTAGAAGAAAGAAGAATCGGGAAGAATTTCCACCTGTCCTGTACCGTGGTCTCCTAAATACGTATTAGATCTAGATCTACATGTACATCTAAATTACGACTAAATAACAATACAAGCATAGAATGATCATTGTTTCCTTTTTTTTTAAGTATTCCACTCATACCAGAATCTACTTTAGTTTAGTTAGATCTAGAATATAGACCTAGATCTACATTAGATATGTGTAGTTGGCCTATTTAATAACCCATTATCATCATACCCATGTAGATCAGTGTGGGAACAATATATCTAATGGGCCTGTCTGTTCTCAGTGTCACTGGGAATAGTTTCTTGGCCTATTCCCAGTGTCACTGGAAACAATTCCGGGCCAGTGGTTTCTGGGCCTTTCCCAGTGACACTGGGAATAGTGCTTTCCTTTGAAGATTATTTACTGTCAAGATAATTAAAGTATTAACATTGTTAGGTGTTGTTCTGTGTATTTTGATTTTAGGAAGGAGGGTCTGTGTATGGGTCTGCATATCACCCGGGAAAGGCTGGAAGAGAACATAATATGTATTTGCTGAGGATAGATAAAAGCAGATGTTTAACTAGATCTAGTGCAAAAGTTAATTTAAAGTGAAAAAGAGCAGCGCAAACATCAAACTCATTCTTTCGCCTAGGAATAAAGTATCCGACGGCAAAATAAAGACAAGACGATCAGATTAGTATCTAGGTGCAGGAGGTAGTCCGAATGCCACCCATATAGGAGGGCAGGCTGCCTAGAGGTACCACCAGAGCCTCACAGTTCCATCTGACCAGGGTTTGAGGACCTGGGCCAAGAACACCATACTCGGTGGTTGCCCAACGCCGTAACAACTAGGCCAGTATGACAATGGATATCAGTGCCATTCCCACTGCAAATCACGTTGATTAAGTGCTATTTTCTAAAGTCTGCTCTGTTACCGGGGCGTTTTACTTAATAAGGGCTGCTGAGAATGTTTATTCAGCAACTTGTGTTTTGAGTAGCGTTGGGATTTTCTAGGTGCCAACGCAAATCTTTTTTTACGTGGTCGAGCCTCATCTTTAAGTCACAGTTTTTGTTTGCCGTATACTCGGCTTTAATTCAACGAGCGATTTCTTCAATGTCAATGTTATTTTTAAAAATTATACTGCGATACGATTTACACCATTCAAAAGACAGGCTCCTTCGATCCTGTCTGTCATAGCCAGCAGGGCCTAAGTGGACACAACATTCCAGCAAACATTGAGAAATTCAATAAAATATCTTCCTACTCGGAACAGAGCTCAGCAGGTCTTCTACGTACAACGGCTAAAAATTTATTCGAATACCCAGAGTGTGGTTAAATAAAAAGGAAATAATAATGTCAGGATGAAAATAAATGTACCATTGGCCAGGGCGCTTTCAGTACGGCCCCTCTCGTTGCAATCGAGGTGAGCTGTAACTAAGAGCGCTTTGGTGGGTGCATGTGAGTTTTGGAATGGGCAGCTGCTCTTGCGTGTCCACACACGCGTGATGTATTTGTTCCGCACAATTTTTCTATCGGCGTAAGATTGCTCTGCGCGTTTTAACAATTGTATAATTTTATCATTCTTGTGAGCTCTTCAGTTTCATATCTTTTGTGTTCATATTTTTACACAATTTAAAATATACGTGAATATCCCTTGATGCAAGTAAAAGAATAAAGTTGGAAGTGAATAAAACAAAAGTTATTTCAAAAAGAAAAAAGTAAATTAGATATATTCTGTAAACTTTGAGTTTGATACCTGGCATTGTATCATTCTTGTTGGCTCTTCAGTTTCACGTGTTAATTCTAAATTTAATGTACATATTTTTACACTTTTGAAAATATATGTGAATGTTCCTTGATGTGAGTAAAAGAAGAAAGATGGAAGTGATTTTTTTTTCTGATTTGTTAATATGAAATGAATTAATAAATGTACTTCGTGAACTTTGAGCTTGATAACTGGCATTGTATCATTCTTGTGGGCTCTTCAGTTTCATACGTTATTTTTAATTCTAATTTTCATACTTTTACTTTTTTGAAAATATATGTTAATGTTCCTTGGTGAGAGTAAAAGAATAAAGATGGAAGTGAATTTTTTATTATTATTTCAAAAATATAAAATATTAACTCAATCTTCAGACTGCCGCGCAATTATACGATCGTTAAAACGCGCTGCGCCGATCGGTAAACTTCGCGGAACATATTGATATATAATGCATACATGTTAAGAATTAAAGCCCTGATATTTACGTCTGCTTACTTCCACTTGAATGTTTTGTTGTTGTCATCTACCAGGTTTGAAACGGCGTTTTGTTGTTACACATGCAAAGTCCAAACCGGGGTTTAGTTCTAGAACCAAGAGAAGCACATCGACGTGATAACGGTTCCAGGGAGAAGGAGGTTAGCAAGATAGAGAGAAGCAACAGAGAGAACGAGAAGAAAAAGCATATCCACCAGTGGTGCCCTCCAACCATGCACTTCAAATGAAACCTAATATCTCATGGCAAACAAAACAAAACAAAACAAAACAAAACAAAACAAGATAACTATCTGTTGTGGTCAAGTTGGAGCTTGAGTTGACGATGGCGTGGAACACCTACCTGAACCTCATCCTCGTCTGTTTAACCTACTGGGTGTACCAGAGTTACTACGTGTATCGGAGGCCTGTCTACAAAGAGGTGACGAAGCTGAGGGCGGCGTATGACTTTATTATTGGTAAGTAGTTATCTCTTGTGTTTATTATCTTTTAGCAGGAACATGTTTAGCCTCTCTAGATAACAACGAGAGACTTCGAGGAGGAGGCTTTTGTCGTTGTTGTTGCTTTTAAGTCCTGGTGGATTGTGTTATGTTTGTTTAATCGTGCAGTCGAGAATGTAAAAAAAATATTGGTGTTTTTTACCCCCCAGTCGACACAGTTTAGATCATTAAGAAGCGAGTTTGTGACATTGCCTGTCAGAGTCAACCCGGCCTTAGACTTAGAGGGATACAACACCCCAGCTAAAAGAACGAAACACAGCCAAGAGCCTGACTACTATACTACAGACACCGGTGTCATTAGAGAGGAGATACTAGACAACTCAAATTGCAGAGGAAACACGTTAGACGCATTCAGTATCGTACTAGACTACGAAGCGAATGTCCCTGGTTTCAAGCCATAACAGAGCGTTCCTGAACGTGTTTGGTTTTTTTGGTTTTTTAAAGAATGAATATTTTTTAAGGATCTCCATCCCCTCGTCTTCGTGCTTTTGAGAAATGGATTTTGTCCTCTATCACACAACCTGAGCCCTCAACAAAGCACAGTAAAACAAGGTCACAACATGTGGAATGAAATGTCTCAGAAAGACGCTAAACATCACGAGAGGAGATAAACAAAAGAAACAAAAAACAGCCTATACAAAGTTGGTGTCAAATCAACAATACAGTAGACCGAAAGACAACGAATCAAATGGTTTTGACATCTTATAATAATATGAGTCTCAGAAGCCAACAATACTTGTATAAAAAGCAATAAAACCAAATCAGGTAGAAGACAAAGAAAAAGATAGATGAACTAAATCGGAGAAGCCCCCTAAAGTTACAACATGGCGTTCCAAAAGGTAACGAATGTGGCTCACGTTCGACAGTTACATCTCCCCTTGACACTCTGCGGTACAAAAGGACAGAAAAAGTAAAAGTAAAGTAAATACCACCTAAATGTGTTGGAAGGGGCATTAAAACCTAAACTATAAAATTCCATACCTAGCACAACCCCGTTTGATACCTCTTGATTCAATCAGAGTATATTATGTTAGCCTCGTTGTCAATGACATGACTTCTGTTCTCACGAGGTATGGTAGTTTATCAATATCAAGAGTTTCCGTCTACCATCTAGAATGTTGTACCCCGGATTGTTTGACCCTGGCAGACAAACAAAGCCAAGTACCAAACAAAAATGATCAAAGTAAATAGTGTCCGTGGGGCTGGGATATTATTAGTTGTAAAGAGCATAGAGCCTGCTATAAAGTAAGGATACCTGAATACCGGGAGGCAGACGTGTAAAAACCCTCCATCCCTCATGGTCGCGAGCTGCCGGTGCACATTCTGCCATATCGAGGCCTGTCCATGTTTTGGTGTTATTCTCTATCTTCCCCTGGCTCTCCTGTACCGCATCTTTCCTTTAAGCACCTCTTTCACAACGGTCTCGTGAAAAAAATGGATACACATGTATTACGGCAATTATTACATCCCATCCACAATTTTTCTTCTCAGTCGGAGGAGGCTCTGCTGGGAGCGTGCTGGCCGCACGTCTGTCTGAGAATGAGCAGTGGACAGTTCTCTTGCTGGAAGCGGGCCCCTCAGACCTAGACCAGGCGGACATATACACTCCCACAGCCATTGCTGACCTCTTAATGAGTCAGTTTGATTGGAAGTTTCACAGTGTTCCCCAGAACTTTAGCAGCCAGGGACTTGAAGGGCGTGTGAGTAACTGATGTGGGAATATAAAAGAAAGTTTGGGGGTGGGGGTGGGAGGTATAACTCTGTATTTTTCGGCGGTATTTGTGTGTGTGTGT